ACCAGAGATTGAACTCACAACCTTGTGGTTGCAAGGCAATGTTTAAATTTCTTTGACTGGGGGCTGGGGATTTAGCTCAGAGGCATAAGCACCTACCTTGCAACCATGTGATTGGAGTTCAATCCCTGGTACTGATTTAAAAAAAAATTTCTTTGACAAGTATCTGTTCAATTCATTTGCCTTTTTATTGATTGGGTTATTTGACTTCTTGGAATTAATTTTTTTAGTTTGTTATATAGGTTAGCTATTAAACTTCTGTGGGATGAGTATCTGGCAAAGATTTTCTCCCATTCTGTGTCTCTTCACTCAGTTGTTTCTCTTGCTGTGAATATACTTGTGAGTGTGTGTGTGTGTTACACATGAGTGTGTTACTGGGGATTGAATCCAGGGTCTTATTTAGCTCTACATCCTGCCTTCTTGTGTGTGCGTGTGTGTCCTTTTCCTAAACTCTTGCTAAGCTACTAAATTGCCCAGGGAGGGCTCTAATTTTCAGTCTTCCTGTGTCAGCCTCCTAGAGTGCTGGGTTTACAGGCATGCACTACCAAACCTAGAAGAACTATTTTATTTGATGTAGCTCCATTTGTTGATTTTTGCTATTCTTTCTTATGCTAGTGGAGTCCTAGAAAAGAAGCCTTTATCTATGTTTATGGCTTCAAGGATTTCTCCTATGTTTTTGTCTAGTAGTTTCAAAGTTCCAGGTCTTATAACTGGGTCATTGGCCCATTTTGAATTGATTTTTGTTCAGGGTGAGAAATTGCATTGTAGTTTCTGTTTTTTTTTGTTTTTTGTTTTTTATCTTTTTGAGACAGGTTCTTGCTGTGCCGTTCAGACTGGCCTTGGGCCCACTTTGTAGCCCAGGCTGGTCTTGAATTTGCAATGACCTGCCTGTCTCAGCCTCCCAAGTGCTGGGATTACAGGAGTTCACCATCACACCAAGTTTAATTTCTGTTTTCTACATATGATTATCCAAGCTTCCCAGTACCATTTTAAAATAGCTTTCTTTCTTTCCTTTCTTTTTTTCTTTTTTTTTTTTTTGAGACAGCATCTCACTATATAATTCAGATTGGTTTTGAACTCATGATGTAGCCTTGCCTGGCCTCGAGCTCACAGCAATCCTCCTGTTTCATCCTCAAGTACTGAAATGCACCACCATGCTCGGCAGGCTGAGGCTGTGTTTTCTAAAATGTTTATTTTTTTGGCTCCTTTGTCAAGAATGAGATAACTGTAGTTGTGTGGGTTTATTTCAGTGTTTTCTATTCCATTGGTCCATGTGTTTATTTTTGTGCCGGTACCAGCTGGTTTTGTTATTAGGGTTTGTAGTACAACTTAAAATCAGGTGTTATAATGCCTCCAGCCGTGCTCTTGTTGCTTAGGATAGCTTTGAGTATTCTGAGTCTTTTAATTTGTTTTTTGTAGCTCTGTGAACTTCATTGGAATTTTTATGTGGATTGCATTGATTGATTCTATAGATCACTTCTGGTAATATAACTATTTTAACAATATTAATTCTGCCAATCCAAAACACAGGCTGCCTTTACATCTTCCAGTGTCGTCTTTAATTTCTTTCTTCAGTGGTCTATGATGTTCATTGTAGGGATTTGTCTGCTTAGTGAACTTCGTCCTAGGGATTTTTGTTTTTGGAAGTTATTGTAAATGAAATTGTTTTCCTGATTTCAAAAATTTAAAAAATGTTTGAATACAGAGTTTCATTCAATTGCTCAGGTTGTCCTTGAATTTTTTTCGTTTTTGGGGGATGGGGTTTAAAACAGGGTCTTGTTACGCAGCTCAGGCTGGAGTTGAGCTCATTTTTTGTAGTCCAGGCTGGTCTCAAACATTCAAGGATTCTCCTTCCTCAGCATCTCGAATGCTGGGATTATGGGTGTATGGCACCATGCCCAGCTCTTTTTATTTTGAGACAGGGTCTTGCTAAAATGCAATTGCAGGTGTGAATTACTGTGCTGGCCACCCTAAAGCTTTTGGAGAGAACATAATCTTGTTGAAATCAGAGGCCTACTGAAACTGATGTTAAACTTGTGCTATAAAAGATTTATTTTAAAAAAGTAATTCACGGGGGCTGGGGATTTAGCTCAGCGGCATAACCGCCTGCCTTGCAAGTGCACGGTCATGAGTTCAATCCCCGGTACCAATTAAAAAAAAAAAAAGAAATGGAAAAAAGTAATTCACTGGAGCCAGGAATAATGGTACACTGGGGAGGTTGGGGATGGATAGTCAGTTTCCATTCCAGCCTGGGCAATTTAATGACTTGGTGAAAACCCTTCGGAAATAAAAGAGGGTATGGGAAAGGTGGAGAAGGTGAGAGAAGGTGTGACTGTATGTGTGGTGGATGCAAGAGATAAATTCCAAGCTCTTGCATATGGTAAGCAAAGAACTGCAAAGCAGACACTGGCTCCTGAAGAAAAAGCAGCTATATTTATTGATGGTGATGCACAGAGAAATAGGGCTGGGTGACAGGAACAACAGGCCTGCAGATCAGCTTTGGAGGGGGAAGAGAGAGAGAGAGAGAGAGAGAGAGAGAGAGAGAGAGAGAGAGAGACAGACAGACAAAGAGAGAGAGAGAGAGAGAGGCAGCATGAGCTTTGGTCCAGGCTTACACAGGATTATACAGGATGCTCCTAGGATGGGGCTGGAGCTAAAGGAAGGAGGGCAATGAATTCCTTCCTCACTCCAATACTGTATCCATATTACAACCATTTTTCCTTAGTCTTGATTTTCAGACTGTTTTTCACATTTTCACTATTATACTAATATATATTATTAGGAACAGTGATGTATATTTATTTCCATGAAAGTTTCCTGGAAATGTAATTGCTCAGATAGAAAAAACATGAATATTGTTGTATATACTGCCAGGGAATTCTCCATTATTAGGTATAATTTTGATGCTGTTATATATCCATTAAAGTTTTTTTTAAAGGGATTGGGAGCATATCTTCATGGTAGTATGACAGATAGCCAAATTAGGCAGAGTTTGACGGGCATTTAGATGAGGCCAGGCCCCAAACAGAGTCAGAAAGAGGCAACAAACCAGGCCTGTGCTGATAGAAACAAAATTTGAGATACAGTGCCTGAGAGTCTCCCCACAGATAAACAACAGCTCAAGCTGTACTGTAACTAGCACCATTTGGCCTATTAAACCTGAAAAATACAACAAACACATAAGAACAACAGAATACATGCATAAATAGCTGGCCGGGGCGCCCCCACTCCTATCCCTTCCAGAAATGTTTTTGTTTTTCTCAGTGCTCTGCACCTTTGCTACATACATTGCTTTCCTATTAAATCAATTGACCCAAGGTAACCTGTGGTGTAATTTTACTGTATAAAACCTTCCTAGCCATGTGGTGGCATGGGCACAGGTGGCACTAGGGTGGGAGCTAGGGGCCTAGGCTGAGGCAGCCTGAACTATATAGCAAGACCTGGTAACAAACAAAACCCCCTCCTTCAAAAAAGTCTGCAAAAGGGGCCTAAGCAGCAACCCACTTTGGGGGCCCCTCCTGTGTATCAGGGGTTTCTCTTATTAAAATGTTTCCTACTCTTAACTTCCTTTGTCCTCAATTCCATTAAAGCAAACTCAACACATCTAACAGATTGGAAGCTATTTCCCTGTAACAGAGTATGTGTTTTGCATTCACGGGTTGGATCCCCAGCATCAAATAAATACCTAATCTTTTTTTTTTTGACAGTGTAGTTCAGGCTGGCCTTTAACTCACTATGTAGCCCAGATGGACCTTGAATTCACAGTAACTCTCCTGCCTCAGCCTCCCAAGACTGGGATAACAGGCATGTGCCCACTCCCATTGTAAGTACCTGAATTTTAAAAAGACCCTATGTCCATACATTCACTAATTCAACTACGTGGAGAGTCTGATCTAAGGGAGTAGAAAATTCATCTGTTGCTGGGCCTGGTGGTACACAGCTGGATGCCACGGCAGGAGGATCACAAATTCTAGGCCAGCCTGGGGGATTTTGGAAGATCTTTTCTAGAAATTTCAAAAAAAAAGAGTATTTTTTTGGAGGGGTTGATACAGGGATCTCTCTGTGTAGTTCAGGCCAGTCTGGAACTCAGCGATTCTATCTTAGTCTTCCAGGTACTGGGATGATACGCATGTCAAAATACAGATTTTTACTTTTTGGGGTACCAGGGATTGAATTTAAGACTTCGGGCTTGCCAGGCAGTTGTTTGTGCTGCTCCTAAGCTACACCCCTGGCCCCGAAATAAAAATTTTTAAATGGGTTGGGGATGTAGCTCAGTATGCAAGCCCCGAATGTAATCCCCAACACCGCAAAACGAAAATAAAACAAACAAACAAAATAACCAAGTTGGTTCACCGAAAGGAAAAGCTAAGTGTGTGAGGTGGGACAGAGATGATGCCAGGGGAAAGCACTTGGTTGTGAACAAGTATACCTAGGTTCTAAACCTTTTTTTTTTTTTTTTTGAGACAGAGTCTCACTATATTCACCAAGCTGGCTTCGAACTCACAGCAATGCTCCTGTCTCAGCTTCCAGAGTGCTGTGATTACAGGCGTGCGCCACCATGCGGGCTCTAAACCCATTTCTGCCACACCGCAACCTTCACAGGTTGTACCTTCAGCTTGAGCCTTCGTTTTCTCAAATTTAGGTGGGTATGGCTCAGGTTTTACGTTTTCCAACCATCTTCAAAGGAAGCATTCTGTATCCCCTTTAGATCTAGCAGCAGCTTGTGGATTGACTAGTTTACAACGAGCGAGGTGAATGGTCAGCCGCAAAATGCAAAAGTAATCACTCCAAGGCACTTCCGGGCGTCGCGTAGCCGACAGTTTGAAGTCCTTGGAAACGCACTTCCGGATATGAAAACCGAGCTTTACACTAGTCACAGCCGAGTGACTCGGCACAGCCACTGCGCATGCTTGCCGCAGACGCGAGGGGCGGGGCACTAGATAAGGTGGGCGGGACCCTGGATGGTAGGCGTGGTCTCTGGCTAGTTCCGCGGTGACTGGGTGGGCCGGAGCGCGCGAGGCTCTAGGGCGGGGCTAGGGCGGTGCTGGCGCGACGCAGGGTGGGGGCTCGTCCGAGTGGGCGCTGCGGGTTTCTGCTGAGCGTCATTGTGTCGTCGTGGCTGAGGTCGCCTCAGGTGAGAAGATCGCGCCGGAAGTGGCTCTGGTTCGGGCCCCTTAATTGTTGTAAGGCATCTGCGTCCGGCTTTGTTGTCAGGGGCCCGCGGCATCACCCAGCTTTGTTTCTCTTCCCTTGCAGTAGCCATGGCGAAAGGCAGAGTTGCCGAGCAATCTCCGACCGGCGCCCTCCACACGAACCTGGTGAGGGACGGGATGGCGGGGACGCGGGGGCCCGCGTCAGCGGGGAGTGGAGCTCACCTGAAGGGTGAGTATGCGCGGAAGGGCTCCGGAGGGGGAGGACACCGGCGGGTCGCGGGGTTGCGGGGAAGGAGGGACCTGCTGGCGCCCGGACCGGAGCAAGGCAATGGGGTCCTCGGACGTAGGCCCCCGCACGCCGCAGGCCAGAGGCCTGGTGGGCCAGTGGCAAATGGTTTTTACATTGAATTCAGTTAAAAGAAATGACAGCTGGCTGCTTGTACTCGGGGAGATTGTAAGGTTGATAACGAAGCTAGACAGGTCGAGAAGAAACTTTAGCATTCGTTGTGTTGTTACAGATGATGAAACTGAAGCCTCGGGTAGGGCCCATTGCCTGTATAGGTGTACAGTAGTTAAGAGCAAGGGCTTGATTGGTACCACGTCCAGATGACAGGGAGCACCTGCATTTGAGTCCCATCTTTGTGTTTTACTTGGAATCTTGGACTTGTTAACTTTCTAAAGCTCAGTGTCTGAACTTAAAAATGAGGGCGATACTAGTATCTGGTTAGTCAGCTGATGCTTGCATTAAATGAAATAATTCACGTTAATACTGATAACCTTATAACTTAAGAGGATTCATTTTAAAGGACCCTCCCCCCCTTTAAGGGGAAAAGTATGCCTAGAAACTAATTATCTTGATTCCATCTTGGCATGAAATTGCTTATTTTCTGCAGTCGAAATGATTGAGGTCTCAGTGGGTTCCCCCCCCCCCCCCCCTTTTTGCCTTTTCTACAGGGTTTCGCCATGCACTTAGGGCTGGCCTTGAACTCAGAGGCAGTCGTCCTGCCCCAGCTGCTAAGTGTTGGGATTACGGGCGTGCACCACTACGCCTGATCAATGTTTTAAAAATTCCTAAAGAAATTATCCCACCGATTGTGGTGGCACAAGTCTGTAATCCCAACACTCCAGAGGCTGAGGCAGGATTGCCATGAGGAATTGAAGACCAGCCTAGGCTACATAGTGAGTTCAAGGTCAGCCTGAATTACCTAGTGTATCCCTGTCTCAAAAAACTGACAACGCCCCCAAACAAACCAACAAACAAACACACCCTTAGTTCCCGGGTTGGTAGTACACATCAGTATTGTCAGCACTTGGGAAGCTGAGGCAGAAAGAATGCTGTGAATTCAAAGCCAGCCAGAACTACACAGTGAGACGGTGTGTTTAAAAAAAGAAAACAAAACTGTACAAAGAAAAAAAAACTTTAGAAATGAATTGTTGCTAGAGCATAAATCTGCCCTGAATTAAATCCTCTAAATTGAAAACTACCTCTGAGAGTGATAGTAATCTTAGGTCTGGGTCTCAAAAAGTGTTTTCCAAGTAGGGCAGTTCTAAAGATTGTCATTTGGTTTGAGATAGTTGTCAGTTATTTATTAATTCTTTTTAACCTATAGCTAATCAAACCTTGAAACTTCCAAAGTATCATTTATAATGATTTATCATTAGAACAGCACATTCAACACATTGATTCTTTTTGTGTGTGTGGTGCTAGGGATTGAACATGAGGCCTTTCCACTGAGCTATATTCCCAGCCTTTTCCTGATCTCCTGAGGTTAATTTTTTATTAGTTTCCTTTTTATACATAGTATTTTTAATTATCTCTCCTACATTTTAAAACTTTAAAAAAGTTTTTTTTTTAGAACTTTTAAAAAATTTGTGATAAAGTCTTACTAAGTATTAAGTTGCCCAAGCTGGGCTTGAACTTGTGATCCTCTTGTTTCAGGCCCCCAGAGTGCTGAGGTTACAGTCATGTTAGCATGCCCAGGTCACTCTTAACTGTTTTTTCGATGCTGTCAAGTGACTTATAGAGCACATCTGTAAGGTGTGAAGACTTTGCCTTCTTGTAGAAATAGTGTTCTTCAGTAAGTAGGAGAGGAGTTGCTGGGCTAGGGGAAGCAGTGAACTTAGAGGTTAGTGTAATCCTTTTGTGGATGTCAGTAGAGAGATTAATTTGTCATGAATGAAGGGTTTCTGTTGGCTGGCAGTAAGAGATAAGGTTGCCTATTCTGATGGTATCAGATTATATTAAACTAGGGAGCTTTTGATCCAGCCTGCTGATTAATGATTACCTTTTTTTTTCTTTCCTTTTTCTTTTCTCCCTCCTTTGACTTTCTCTAACTCACGTTAGAAATTCTATATAGCTAGGCCTGGTAGCCCATGCCTGTAAATAAGGGAGTGGGGAGGAAGGCTGAGGCAGGAGGATCATTATGCTTTCTGAGGCCAGCCTGTGCTGCATAGTGAGTTCAAGTCCAGTCTGACTTCATAGTGAGACCCTGTACCCCCTAAAAGAAAAAAAATATCCTGTATAGGGCTTCAGATATAGCTCAGAGGTAAAGCATTTGTCTAACATGTGGGTTCAATTATTTCTTTAAATTTAAATTTAAATTTTACATGTTTGAGGTACAAAATGATTACATTCATCATGGGGATTGGTACATCCTGGTCCTCTCCTTCAATTCTTTCTTTTTTTGGGGGGGGGGTGGCATAAGGTTTGAATCCAGGGTTTTATACATGCCAGGCAAGTACTCTTACCACTGAGCTACATCTTCAACCCCTCAATTATTTCCTGACACCTTTCATTTATATAGATTTTTGTGTGTAGATTATAATGTAAAATCTTTAATGTGGAACAGAAAAATTTGAGAACACTACTGTTTTTCCTTTCTGATTTATTTATTTATTAGTGGTACTGAGGATCAAATCCAATGGTACTCTTAACCTCAAATCCAATGGTACTCCCCCTGGGCTGCATCGTTAAGTGTTTTCATTTTTTCTCATGGGTCTTGCTAATTTCCTCCAGCTGGCCTCCAATTTGCAATCCTCTTGTCTCAACCTGTTGACTAGCTGGGATTATAGGTTTGTACTATCGTGCCCAGCTATCAGGAACCACTATGGTTTGGCTTTTCTTTTTGTTTTGGTATCAGGGTTTGAACTCATGACCTCATGCTTGCCAGGCACGCACTGTGCTTCGGAGCTATATCTTCAGCCCAGGAGCTGTATCTTCAGCCCAGTCTTGAAATTGCTTTTACTGCTTTTAAAAGGCAGTGTGATTCAAACTGGAATCTTTTGTCTTAAATTCCTGTTCTGGATTCTGCCATGCTAATTTGCTTCAGCAGGTGATTCCTTAAGCGTTCACAGTGAGTACCGTGCTTACTCACTTAGAGGAAAAAGAAAGCTCTCATTACTAAGAAAAGAGATCTAAGTAAAACTGGCAATGGGACATTAACCAAGATACTTAGTATGATTTGTTGATGCCAGTCTCAACACAAATTTTATGTATTAGGCTTTTTGTGTTTTGCCTGTAGTATGTAGAAAATTCAATTGAAACCTTTGCTGAAAGAGAATTTGTTGGTTCATGTAACTTAAAAATCAGTAAGGTAAGATCTAGTGGCATCAGGCTGGAATCAGGGGCTCAGTGCTATCTCAGCATCAGGCTTTTTTTATGTCTTGGTTTGCTTACTTGATGTCAGCTTTACTGTATGTTTAGTTTTTCTTGAATTCCAGGCAAACTAAGGGCTTTTTTGTTAGTTTTGAGAATCTTTGTCCTAGTACAGTGATAGCGACCCTTTTAGAGCTTTCAATGACACAAACAGCTCACTGAGGCATAGATTGTCTACCACTATCCTTGAATTATCAAAGTCTTGGTATTCACTGACTGGATTATTGCACATCAGATGGTCATCTTTGAGCCTTTCACTGTTGTCAGAGGGTGAGAAAAACCTAACTGACTGGGTCTGATTCATGTTATATACCCAGAAAAGCAATTGGGAATGAGCTGTTGGTTTTCACAGTGATATAGATCGCTAGTGATTTCCCTTTGTGTTGGTATATAAATAAAGAAAATGAACCTGTTTGTGATGAAATACCTAGGGCTACTGATTTATTAAGAGAAAATTTAAGGTACAGTTTATCAGGTTTAAGGGAATGATACCTTAGTGGTCTCTGATGAGGCCCACACACAGGTTGTGAATGTCAGTGCTTGTGGGGCAGAAGTCACATCTTGAGTTAGGAAGTAGGTAGGACTAAATGGGGCCAAAATCAGGCTTTCATGCTGTCTCTGACAAGAACTATCATGGAGACCCCCAGTGACCCAGGACCTCCTATTAGGTGTAACTTTCCTGAGGTTGACCTGAGGCGTTCAGTCACAGTGAACCCTGAGGGACACTCAAGTATATTCAAAATACAGCAGGAAAAAACGGAAAGCAAAAAAGGAAAGAATAAAGATTTTATCAAAGATGCTGCCTCAGATTATACATGAAGTCAGGCTGCATTTAGAAGGAAAAGAAATGAATCAAGTATTAAAATTTAAAATGTCCAAGGTAGAGTAGTTCCAGGCAATGTGAGAACTTAGTGTGTAGCCTTGGAAGTGGGTGGCTAAATTTGAGCAGAAATGAATGTCTATGAGACTGAGTGGATCCTATAAATGAATGGTGAGATCTTTTAGGGTTATGGAGAAGCTTATTATCAGCTTGGTGTTGGTCCTCAGTAAAGAGGAGATGCACCTGAAAGTGGGTAGGTGCTTGTGAGTGAACATGTGGATTTAGAGATCGAGTTCTTATATGAGTTTGACAGTGCTGCTTCTGCTTCCTATAAATGTGCTTTCTGTGTTTGTAACTTTTTTTTTTTGTCTTTTTGAGACGGGGTCAGTGCAGGCTGGCCTTGAGCTCACTTTGGAGCCCAGGCTAGTCTGGAACTCGATTCCCGAGTGCTGGAATTACAGGTGTGAGCCACCATGCCCGGTTTGTGTTTGTAACTTTTAAAAAATCTTTTTAGCTACTTTAACATAATTGGTGTTATTGATTACCATTTTCAAGTTAGTGAGTTTTTTTTTAAACTTTAAAGCCCTTGAAATAGTTTATGTCAATGATAATATTTTGTGACTTTAAAGGTTTCCTTGTTCTGTAGTCTTATGTCTTCAAGAGAAACAGGTCTTTCCTTCATGGTGGGGTCAACTAGATTAGAAAACACTCAATGTTGAGAACAAGTGGACTGGATAGCCAGTAAGAGTAATTCCTAAGATACTGTAGATACCGTGCCATTTTGCTTTCTGAAAGATTTTTTTTTTACATGGATGTAGCAAGAATGAAGACAGTACTAGAGGATTGTTAGGGTTAATTTCTGTTTTTCTCAGGTTGGATTTATTTGTATTAGAGAAAAATTACTTGTAAGAAGAGACACAAAAGATATTGGGGGAAAGAGATTTTAAAGAGCAAGATCTAGAGAGAGATGTGTTAGCATTTAATGAAAAGATATGGGGCAAAGCGGGGAGAGGTAATTCCATGAACAGATTTTGAGGTAGATACTGGGGAGCTCACTAAAGTAGGAGGCAGTGTCACTGATTGTGGGCAGAAGGAAGACTTGAAGCAATTTATTTATTGGAGACAGTCTAGCCTTGAAGTCAAGTCTCTTGAGTGCTGGGGTTACAGATGTGCATCACTAGGTAGGGATAGAAAAATATTACTGTTTATCAATGAGCACCTTGATGGAAGCTAGGAAAATGTGACCATGTAGGTTGAGAGAGCACAGTTCTGACTTTCTCTCAACAGTACCAAGAGAAGAGTTTAAACAGCAGATACATGGATAATTCAGAGTAGGAATTAGTATGCTACAAGATTTGCAAGTTAATGAAGTATGAATATGAGTAGTTATAATGCTGAAAGTTTATGCATCTAATGCCACCATAAGAAGGAGAATTATAAACGTGTATACCTCAAATTTAGATGTAAATTTTAAAAACAAGATTTAGAACTTTTTTATATCATGTACAAAGTACAGATTCTCTATAATGAATGTGATCATTAAAGTGTTTTTTTTTTTTTTTTTTTTTTTTTTTGAGACAGGGTCTCACTATGCAGTTCAGGCTGGAATTGAGCTCACTTTGTAGCCCAGGCTGGTCTTGAATTCACAGTGATCCTCCTGCCCCAGCTTCCCAAGTGCTGGGATTACAGATGTACACCACCATGCCTGGCAATATGATCATTATGTATATGTAAAATGTACCAATAAAATCTGATTTAAAAAAGATTGAGAATTTTTATATCTGTTCAGAAATATAAATGAATTATATACCATCCCCTGAGTTTATTAGAATTATATGGTGAGAGTGTTGAGTTGTAATCACCAACATTCACTTTTTACTAGTTTGTATGAGAGGAAGGAGATCCTCAAAATTGAATGTCACTCAGGGTTTTCTTTGCATTTTTTTCAGTTGTTTTCTTGTGGTACTGTTGAACACTGCTTGAAAAACTTTGCTTAACTTTAGAGAGTGGAAAAAATAGTTATCAAGTTAAACCTAGAGATTAGTTTTGTTTTGATATCCATATATTTCACCATCCAACTAACTGCAAGACAACAAGTAACTATTAGATAAACACACACTCAAGGAAAACTCGCGATAGTTAATGTTCTACAGTTCAGTTAAACATTATATGGTTAATGTTTCTCCTGTCTAATTTTAAGAGTGGTGAGTTTATAATTTGATGAAAAATCATTTAATTTTAAATCTGACATGCTAAATGCCTTATTTAATTTTTGCATTTTTTTATCGGTACTGGGGATCGAACTCACAACTTCCTGCTTGCAAGGCGGGCGCTTATGCTGCTGAGCTAAATCCCCAGCCCCACCTTATTTAATTTTTAAAAACAACATTGTCTGTTGAAACCCCACTTAGCTACATATAGTACCGGTAGAAAGCTCATTTTTCCTCCATCTTTTAATATTCAGCTAAGTTTCTACCTACTCTGTGAACCTTGGTTTCATTACTCCAACCCAGTAATCTTGCTTTCCTGTAAACCAAGTTCTGTTTAACTCTGCTATTCCTTGGTGGCGGTTCTTGAGTTACTTGTTAGCTTGAAATACTGTTTTCCTTTATATTTACTTTATTTGTATTTACATGTGTTTTAATCATATATCCTTTTTTCTCCTTTCTAGAAAAAGCCCAGGCAGAAGCTGGGTCAGCAAGAATGTCACTGCTTATATTGGTGTCCATTTTCCTGTCCGCAGCTTTTGTTATGTTTTTGGTATATAAAAATTTTCCTCAGCTTAGTGAGTAAGTATACAAGAAGAAAAAAACTGGAAATGTCTGGGTGTTTAGGAGCTGAAAGTGAATTTTTAAAAAAGTGAATTAAAAACTAAGCAGTAGAATGTTGTGATGATTATGTATTGGCTTTCATGGCTTGTAGCAAGTCCATATCAGTACTATGTTTAAATATTGTTTTTAGCTTTGCCTATTGACTTTTTTTATGCAGACTTTTCTAGTATTGCTTCTCTAATAAGGCTGTGACTCCAAAAACTTTGTTTTGTTGAAATAGGGTCTTGCTATGTAGTCCAGGCTGATTTTAAACTCAGGCTTGTCTTGAACTTAGAGCAATTCTGCGTGAGCCTTCCAATGCTGGGATTACAGTCATTTGCCATCGGGCCTGGTGGGAGTCTTTAATTTTTAAATTTTATAAATGAGTAACTAGTTTACCAGCTTTATTTTCCTCCTGAGACACCTCCTCACTACTTATCCCTGACTGACCTTGAACTTTCTGTCTTCCTGCCTCAGCCTTGCCAATGCTGAAGAGTACAGGTATGTGCCAGCATACCTGGCAACCCGCTGTTTAGGACTTTTAAAAGCAACATTCACCTGCATGGTGATACGCACCTATAGGCATAGCTACTCAGGAGAATCTGAGATAGGAAGATTGCTTAGCTCATCAGTTCAAGTTCAGCCTGGGCAATATGGCAAGACCTGTTTCAATAAAAAAATAAGTAAAAAAGGTACATTAAATCATTGTTCTGCAGAGTAAAAATAAGAAGACAAATGAGCATCATATATCTTAAATATAAAAAGATGATTAATTAAGCCTTTCATCAGCAAAAACTCGTTGGTTCAAAACAAGATACCCAGTTTAAATTAAAATTAATAGAAAAGGGAAAATATTTTAAATTGTTGTCTGAACTTTCAGCTGGGATAGTCCAGAAGAGGTGTGTATGAACTATGAATTCATTAAAATTTAATTAATTTTTATTATAAATGATTAACTTTTGCTTATCATGAGCATTATCCAAAATGATGTCAAATACGTTTTTACTATACTAACACCAGTGGTTCATTTCTTAATATTTCATTAAAAGTTCAAGCCAATATTGGAGTAAATGCTTTTAACTTTCAGTTTGGATTATTCTGAACTTTCACATGTAGATTATATATCTCAGGAAGTTACTGAAAGCATTAACAAATACTTTATAGACTTTTGAACTTAAACATTTTTAAGTTGACCTTACCATATTACAGATAAAGACTTCAAATCATTTTGGATAAAACTCTATATTTTGAACTTGATTTTTCTTTTATCATAGCAAAATTCTTAAATTGTTTTCATTTTGATTTTATTTCTTTAGAGAAGAAAGAATGAATATGAAGGTTCCCAGAGATATGGATGATGCCAAGGCTCTAGGAAAAGTCTTATCCAAATATAAAGACACCTTTTATGTACAAGTACTTGTAGCTTATTTTGCTACATATATTTTGTATCCTTTTAATTGAAAAATATTTTCTAGTTTTGTTAAAGAAAAGATTTAAAGGGGCTGTTGCTTAGTCATACAAAACTTTTTGTTTTAAAATTTATTAATGCAGTGTTACGATATTAGATAAAAAAATGAAAAACTAAAATTGCAAAAATTCTTACTTTTTTTTTGTTTTTTGCTTTTGGTTCTGGTAATGGAACTCAGGACCTTGTGCTTGCCAGGCATGCACTTGTGCCACTGAGCTAAATCCCTAGCCCCAAAAATTCTTAATTTAATCTTATCTCCTCGATTTACTTTTATTTTGGAATATCTGCTGTCATTGTTTTTGTTTTGTATTGTATTTATTTCACTTATTAGATATTTTATTTTCCTCTATCATTTAGTATATTTAACTATTTTTAAAAGATTGTTATTTATATCATTAGTTAATTTGAATTACTAGTTATCTCTTTTAAGACTTTTTCCTTAGTTTTTGAGGTTTAATTGTTTTTATTTAGTTTAATTAATTAATTAATTAATTGGTGTTGGGGATTGAACTCATGACCTCACGCTTACCAGGCAGGCACTTATGCCACTGATCTAAATCACCAGCCCTTTGTTTTTATTTTTTTGCTTTTATAGATGCTATTTTATGACTGTCCTTCAATAGTAATTTTTTTTTTTTTTGTATTTTTGAGACAGGGTCTCGCTATGCACTTCAGGCTGGCCTTGAACTCACTTTGTAGCCTTGGTTGGCCTCAAACTTGTGGCAGTCTTTTTGTCTCAGTCTTTTTGGGAGTACAGGCATGCATCACTACACTTGGCCATCCTTTAGTAGTTCTTGATATATGTATGTATGTGTATGTGTACTGGGGATTGAACTCAGGGTATTCATACTGAACTACAATCAATGTCCTTGTTTGTTTGTTTAAATTTTTAATTTTGTGACAGGGCCTTACTAAGTTGCTTGGCCAGACTAGAACTTTTGATCTCCCTACCTCAACAGAATGTCACCACATCTAGCGCAGCTTCTTTCTTTTGTATTATTTTCAGCTTGCTTTTATTGTTTTTGGTTGGGTTTTTTTTTTTTTTTTTAAACCGGGGATTGAACTCGATCTCACGCTTGCCAGGTGAATGCTTACATCGCTGAGCTACATCTCCAGCAAATTGCCTATATTGTTGATGACTAATCTTCTAGTTTGTAGACTTTATCTTTCTTTATGGCTTTTTGTATCTTTTTTTGGTAATGGGAACTGAACCCTTACGATCTTGTGCTTGCCAGGCAGGTGCTTGTGCCACTGAGCTACAGCCTCAGCATATCTTTTTTTCTTATCCAACATATTTTCCAGATCTTGGTTAAAAGACATTAATTGCTGATATTGTGAAAATAATCATTATCTTTTTAAAATCAGCTTTTAGGCTGGGTATGTGTTGTATGCTTATGATTGTAGTACTTAGAAGGCTATGGAAGGAGGATTGCCATGAACAAGTTGGAAGCCAGTCTGTCAAATGACAGAAGAGTAATTACAAATATTGGAAGTGAGTTTATTAGTATAACGTGTATTTTATTTGAAATCATAAGTAAATATTGGTTAATATTGTCAATTTAAATTATATATTATTACTATTTACTCAATAAATAATATAATGATATCCTATATATTATAGATTTTTATGATTTGAAGCTTGGTTGGTTTTTTTTGGTCTTTTTGAGCCAGGGTTTCATTATGCTGTTCAGGTTGGCCTTAAACTCACTTTATAGCCCAGGCTGGCCTCAAACTTGTAGCAGTCTTTCTGCCTCAGCCTCCCAAATACCACCATGCCTACCTTTTATGATAACTTGTTAAATTCAAATTTTCTTAAAATGTTTTGTCTGCACTTTTGAATTTAAATTATAAATGTTGAAACTTGGTGAGGAAAGGGAAGTACTTTGTCTTAGGGCACATAACAATGTTTTGGCTTTACTAGTAATGGCTGATTAATAGATAAGCTATGTTTAACTTTTAAAGTTTCTTGCAGGTACACTAGAAAAAGTAAAAAGGAACACCTGTAATCAATTTAATACATACTTGAAGCAATATACCAAATACCTTATCATTTCAAAATATAATTAGTAAGCTGGCCATGGTAGTGCATGCCAGGCAGGCCAGCACTTGGGAAGCCAAGGCTCCAGGATTGTGAGTTTGAGGCCAGCCTGGCTCTATTGAGAGACAAGTGCCACTGAATTCAACTGTGCAAGCACTCATACCTCTTGAGTAAGCGTTAGTTTTAAGTTCTTTTTTTTTTTTTTTCTTTTCAAATCCATTTTATTTCAAAGAGAGAATAAAAAGAAAAAAACCACCAAGAAAGCCAAGTTTCAAAGCACATCAATCAGGGGGCAACAATAGTGTATATATATTGTACATTGTCATCCCCAAATCATTCACCCAAAGGATAAGACATCTGCATTCAGTTGTTCCAATAATACCAGCACAAACTTTTCTTTAGTGTCAAGTTCTTTTGAATTCTTTTATGTTATATTCCTTTTTTAAAACTAGCTTTCATTCATTTAATCAATATGCTAAGGACTAATTTCTCCTGCTTTGAGTATTCAAAAGCAGAGCAACTGTTTCGAACTGAAATAACAAGAAAGACTAGGTAGAGATCCAGCTCAGCCTAGACCCTGAGCTTCTCAGAGAGGGCGTGTTAGGATGTGATCTGCAGTCCCGTTTAGCTGCATCAGAGAGGGGAGGGCTGAGAAGTAAGTCTAAGGCCGGCAGCTGTCCTCCCATTGCAGAGGACTTTGAATATCAAGCTAAGGGATTTAGAGTACTTATTTGGTACTGAATTGTCATTGAAGACTTTTGAGCAGATGACATTAAAAGGGTCATTTTGTGGGCATAGATAGTGGTATATACTTGCTGTCTCAATTACTTTCTTGTTTCTTGTTGCTGAGACATAATACCTGAAATGTATAAGTTAAAGAAGGAGAGGTTTATTTATTTTATTTTTTATTTTTGGTCTTTTTGAGACAGTTTCACAGATCAGGCTGCTCTTGAACTGACTTTGTAGCCAGACTGGTCTCAGCCCCCTCAGTGTTGGGATTATAGGCATGTGCTACCATGCCTGACCTGGAGAGGTTTATTTTGAGTTATAGTTTGCAGAGGTTTCAGTCTATAGTTGATGGGGTGGCAAGTCAGCATGGCAGAAAGCAGGAAGCAGAGAGAGATGGGAAGATGTACACTGTTGCAGGTCAGGCCTTCAGTAACCCTGCTTTTCCCACCAGGCTTTACCTCCCAGCATCACACCCAGCTGTGAACCTGTCAGTAGACTAACCTAGTATCATACCCCATGGTCCAGTTACCACCTCAAAATCCCACCTGTAAGTACATGAGGCTTTGAGGGGACATCTGGATCAAAGCTGTAACACCTATAATTCTGTTTAGGTATTTGAATGTTTGAAACATACACAAAAGTAGAGAAATTCTTTTTGTTGTTTGTTTGTATTTATTTTTTGTCTTTTGAGACAGGGCTTTACTATGTATGTAGTTTAGGATGGCCTTGAACTCACTTTGTAGCACAGGCTGGCCAGTATCCTAAGAGCTGTGATTACAGGTGCACACTGCTATGTACAATTGTTTTTGTTTTTTGAGAAAGATTCTGTCTCCTGTCTCAGCTTCCTAAGTGCTAGAATTAAAGATGTGCACCACCGTGATTGGCATCCTTAATCCTTTTTTAAATGCTTAATTAATTAATGTAAGTTTCATAGTTAAATGTAAAATGATTATTATATCTTATAAATTTGTACAGAAATCATGTTTTCTGAGAATAATTAGGAATAAATCAATGCACTAGAGAATTCTATGTGTTATTTAAAAGATGACTGAGAATTTGTTTTTGCCACATTGCCCAATTCCTTTTCATCTGGTACATGCTGGATATTTGTCTTTATCTTCTTTTAGTAGAATTTTATTAGCATTGTACTTATTTACTATGTATATATAAAAATGTGTATGTGTGTGTGTGTGTGTGTGTGAGTGTGTGTGTGTGTGTATTTGTCTTTGTCTTTTTGAGACAGGGTCTTACTGTGCAGTTTAGGCTGGCCTTGAGCTCACTTTGTAGCCCAGGCTGGTCTTGAACTTGAAACGATCCTCCTGCCTCAGTCTCCCAGGTGCTGGGATTTTAGGTATGCACCACATATATTGTATTTTGTATTATTGTAAATGATCACCTTAGGGTTGAAGGCATTGCAGCTAAAGAATCTTATTTTTTAAACACATTTGTATATGAGTTTACTTTATCTTTTGAACATCCCAAACTCCCCAAAAAATCAAAAATGCAGAATACTCCAAAATCCAAAACAAGTAAAAATACTACATAAGATTAGCTTCAGGTTGTATGTGTAAGGTATGAAACTTTCTTGACTCAAGACCTTAGACTTCATTCTTATCTCAAACATATTACGTATGTGCTACATATACTCTAAAACCTGAGAAATCCACAATCCAAAGTACTTATAGTCCCAAGCATTTGGAATAGGAGATACTCAGCAAGTACTGAAACATGGGCATGATCTCATTAACATGATGATTTCTGTGTTTATACATTTTTTTTTATACCGGATGTCAAACTCAGGATCTTGCGCTTGCCAGGAAGGTGCTTATGCTGCTGAGCTGTATCCCTGGCCCTATACTTTTTTTCTGAAATGTTGAGTTTGTCATCTTAAAATTTCACTTGATTATGTTTTAATCCTTAACTTAGAAGTTAACAGCTTACAAACATTTGCTATTCCAGGCTCTATATTTCTCAGCATCCTTTCAGGGTTCCTGTATCCCTTTCCACTAGCCTTGTTTCTTGTTTGTTTGGTAAGTAAATAAAATGAATTGGAAGACTGGGAAAAACATCTCTAATAGAATGAGGAGAACAATACTGTCATCCTAATAAATGTGTTAAAGAGCAGTTGATGTTCCAGTTATATCTGTTAAGTTCCTCAGTGAGAAGGTGACGTTTGTTGTTCTCTCCAAAACGGGTGTTATAACCATAAGTGTGTTTAGAAGCTATCTTAGCCTTTTTTTCCTGTTGTATTTTTATTTTGTTTTGTGTTGTGAGACAAGGTCTGGTTATCTAGTTCAGACTGGCCTTGTACTCACTCGGTAGCCCAGGAAGGCCTTGAACCTGCAGCAGCAGTCCTGCCTCTTTAGTGCTGGGATTACAGGTGTAATTACCATGCCTGACTCCTATTGTGTTTCTTTTCTTTTTCCCCTGAGATAGGGTCTCCCTATGTAGTTCAGGCTATTCTTGAACTCAGTATGTAGTGCAGACTTGCCTCAAACCTGCAGCAATCCTCCTGCCTCAGCCTTCCAAGAGCTGGAATTACAGGGATGTGCCACCATGCCTGGCTCCTATTGTGTTTTGTAACCTGGACAATCTGAGAGCTTTGATGGGCACAATGAATTAAGTCTCAGAGTTGAGGTAGTGTTTTTAGGCAGAGCATTATTTTAAAAACTTTGCTTCTGAAGTTGTATTCTTATGCTAAAAAATAGCAGTAATTATTTGGATATAGTCTCTTAAGTTTAATTGCAAATGCCAGTTTGTTTTAGTTGGTGTTATTTGAATTACAGTCTGGTCTAAGAAAGGACTACATTAAATGAGTTCTTTGCACAAGAGATGTTCTGGAGAGCATCCTCCCAAACCCCAAGAAGTATTCTAGTTGAGCTTTTCTTGGAGATACCTTCATGTGATTAAGATGGGAAAATAAAAGTACTCATGGCTTCTGTTGTTTTCCAGTGTTCCGGACTTGGTGCCTCATTCTGCTATATGCTCTCCTATTTAGTCGGGCGACCAGTTGTATACAAATACCTAACAGAGAAAGCAGTCAAATGGTCACAGCAGGTAAATACATGTTATTATCGTTTGTTTGGCTTTTTGAGAGAGTCTTGCTGTGTTGCCCATGCTGGCCTCAAACTCCTGGACTCCTGAAATCTAGAACTACAGATTTATACCACTGCATGAGGCTTACTTTTTAAATTATGTAATAGTGCTTTGATTGATTAATTGGGAGGTCAGTGTATAGTCCATGTGTAAATTTAATACTAATTTACATTTACATAAATTTATATAAAGATAATGCAGATAATTAAACTTTATAAAATTCACTGAGATAAAAACAATTATGTTTTGATCAAAATAGCATTTGTATGTACAAAACTGATTGTTAATATGTTTTGTCTTTGTTGTTTTTGAAACATGGTCTTGCTATGTCCGGCTTGGTTTGGAATTTGCTATGAGCACAGGCTGGCTTCAAACTTAGCGATCCTCAGACCTCAGTCTCTGAAGTGCTAGCATTACAGATGTGTACCACCATTGCCTGGTGCAATGTAAATAATTTTAAATGTAGATTTTCATTTTTTGTTTTCTCTTTTTTTCCCCCTTATATGCTAAGGACCATCTATCATTTGTCTAAAGCACACTACCACTGAGTTACATCCCAGGTCCTTCTGTAATGATAACTTTGGTTCTTTATCTTAGTAAATTCAGTCAGTATAAAAAGCAGTATTACTCTGAAGGCATCCACATAATTGGAAAGTTGGTCTGTTATGTGGTATGTTGATCAACACACTTGATGGGTGTGTGAACCAGCTCTTCTGATGCACCCTCGGGGGAGTGACTGTGCTGTGTCCCAGAGTCTAGCAAAGCCCTGCAGTGATAGATACAAGCCAGGTGCAGAATGAGCTGAGGAGTGTTATAACTCGGGCCCCGGTATAAAATCCAAGGAAGCAAGAGACCGAAAATTTAGGTAGCAAAGGCTTTATTTCCAGGCCTGGAGACGAGTCTCTGGGAGCCAATTTGGAGACTGTGTGCCAGAGACTGAAGGGAGGGCTTTAAAAAGGGGCTGGAGGAAAAGTGGTGGCGGGGAGAAACAAAGAAACCTGTAGAGCCATCAAACTTGTTGACCCGAGTCTGGAAACTGTATTGCTGTCCACTTAGCTCTGACAATCTCGGGAGTTCCTGGTGTTTCTCAAATTACTCCCATCCTACAGACTGACATTATCTTGGAGTGGCACATCTGCAGCAATATTTGGAGAAGTTAATTATGCCAGGACAGCTCGTTTTCGCTAGTGGGTGTGAAGGGGTCAAGAGTTACAAGAAGCTGAAACTTAGTTTTACAAAGATCTGATATCTAGCTCATTTGATGCATACAGAACAAAAGGAAAGCACCGATTGGGGTTTGGGCCATAGTATTTCCCGGTAATTTCTTTGAAGCTAAACAGTTCTTAAAATTGGGGCAGGCTCATTTTATGACAGATCATCACCGGGTTGGGAAGAGGTAACCAGAAACCCAAATTCTTTATGGCCTAGATAGATAGGTGAGGGGAGAGGGAGGCAATAAGGCACCATACAGAACAGAAAACGGTGGTTATGTGTCAAGGTCAGGTAAAGGGTTAAACTCATACACAAATCTCTCTGCACACAAGCAAGTTACTTCAAACAAGTGTAAATTAGCGGGCCATCCTAGTTTTCTTTAGCTCTTTAGCGGAGAATAGAGGCGCCTAACAGTGATTAACAACCCTTGTTAGCTTGTTTTAGCACAACTTCTGTAGTTTGTAGAGGGCAACAATGGTTAACATATCAATTAGGTGAGATTCTTGCAGTTCTTTACAGAGGAGAGTATTGCTCAACATATCAATTAGGTCATTTAACATATCAGTTAGGGAAAAAGGATAAAAAAAACACATTTAGTAAGCCACGTTGCAGGTTTGCTATAATACACATATAATGAAGCTATTTTCTTAGAGTACAACAAGGAGCACTGCTGGGAGAAACTGAAGAAACAGATCTCACAGGACTTTCAGAGATTATTCTGTTCTACAAATTAGGAAATTAAGAGAAATTTAGTATTTTGCCCTAAATCATGACTTAGCATGGTCTAGAATCTCAGATCAGTTCATGTCTAGACTAGTGCTCTTTTCATTTTACTGCATATGTACAGAATGGTAAAATAGTTCTACCTGTGAGTTTTTCTAAGAAAAATGGATTGGGCAGTGAGCATATTAGATATTTAAAGGGTATAAATTAAAATCAGTACTTAAATACTTTAATTGGCAAAATGTTTCCACAGCATGGAGGTGTACACCTATAATCCCAACACTTGAGAGGCTGAGGCAGGAGTACTGTGAGTTTGAGGCCAGCCTGGGTGTTTTTTTGAGTGCCTCAAAAAAAAATGTCATCAACAATGAATAAACCATTTTGTGTGATATATGTATTATAGCATAAAATAAGATTATCTAAAGTTTTAAAAAATTGGGAGCCAGAAGCTGGGAGTATTGCTGAGTAGTAGAGGGTTTGCCTGGCAGGTGGGAGGTGCAGAGTTCATGTCCTGAACCGCTGCACACACACAGACACACATTGGGTGTGAAATTTGTTTTTTTGGTTGAGTGACTTGTTATACTAGAAAGATAAAGGACATTAAAAAGTTGGCTGATTGAATTCCTTCTACCTTTTTCCTTTTCTTCTTTCTTTTGTTCTTTATATGTGGTACTGGGAATGAAATCCTTGCCCTTCACATTGATCAATATCCCTGGCCCATTTTTAAACGTTTAATTATAAGGCAGGTTCTTGCTAAATAGCACTAAGTTTTGCCCAGACTGGGCTCAAATTTGCAGTCCTCCACTTGGCACAGATTGCAGGTGTGTACCACCACCTTTAGCTTAAATGTGTTTTTTGTTTTTGTTTTTGAGATAGGATCTCACTATATAATTCAGGCTGGCCTTGAACTCACTGTGTAGCCCAGACTGGCCTTAATATCAAGTGATCTTCCTGCCTTAGCCTCCAGAGTACTGGGATTATAGGCATGAACCACCATAACTGGCTTGTGTGTTTCTTAAATGTAGTTTTATGTAAAATTAATTTGGCATTTTAGGTGTTAAGTAGCATCATTGAACCATCATTAGATTGGTAACAGAGCCATTTTTAGTAGTATATTGTTGACCAACAGTGATGGGAAGCTTTTCAGAGATTGATCTTTCTTTCTTTTTTTTTTTTGATGGGGGCTGGTTTGGGCCCTGTCTTGCTATGTACTCCAAGCTGGCCTTGAACTCACAGTGATCCTCCTGCCTCAGAGCCTCTTGAGTGCTGGAATTTCAGGCATGTCCACCACACCTGGCTAGAGAGCTTTCAATGATGCAAGCAATCCACTGTGGCATGTGTACCATATAGGGTCGCCATCACTATATGAGCAGTTTTTAAAAACCTCATTTATCTCTGCTAATGATTTAACAAATAGTTTGTTATTTTCAAATTCGTTTTTAAATCATTGATATTATAACCAAAGGAAAAAGATGCTGGGTGTAGTGGTGCATGCCTGTATCCTAGCACTCAGAAGGCTGAGATAGGAGGTTCACCTCAAGTTCAAGGCCAGCCTCTGCTGTGTAGCAAGGCCCCATCTCAAAGAAACAAAATACTGTAAAGCAAAAATTATTCATACTGGATAAATTCTGAAATATCAGAGCCAGATGTGATGGTGCATACCTATAATCCCAGTACTTGGAGGGTGAAGCAGGAAGATCACCATGAGTTTGATGCCAGATTCTGTCTCCAAAAAAAAAAAAAGTCTTTTAAGTATCAGGGATGAGAAATTGAATATTAAGTAACATTTTCAGGATTGGCTTTGTCTGATCCTAATAATATTCTTTTTCTTATGACAGGTTGAACGTCATAGAGAACATCTTATTAACTACATTATATTTTTGAGGATAACACCGTTTCTACCTAATTGGTTTATTAATATTACATCTCCTGTGATAAATGTGCCATTGAAAGTTTTTTTTATTGGCACTTTTCTAGGTAAGGTCTTTGGGTTGTGCTGTCAGGGCTCATTGTGTAACACCCAGCAGCATCTAGCTGGCCTGGGTCCCCTGCCCTGTGTGGATGGTGTGGGACTTGGGCACAAAACCTGACCTGCATCAGTAGACACTCAGCAATATCTGCATTGTGTTAAGTATTTTTCTGTTACCTCTTAAAGAGGAAGACTTACTGTTGGATACTGTTGTAATAATACAGGATTAAATGGAACTTTTTTCCCAGTGCTGGGGATGGAAGCTGTGGGCTTGTGTGTGCCATGCGAGTGCTCTGCCAATGCACGGTGTCCCCAGTCCTCAGAACTTTTTAGTTCCAATCGTTCCCTCAAGTGGAGAGAAGAAAAATTAAGTTGCTGTTTTTAAATTTTTTTCCTTTGTCTTCTAATTAATTATGAAATACATCAGAATTGATCCCTGTTTTCATTTTATTGAAATGAGCATTTATTGTGTGCATATGTATTACCAAGAGTACAGAGAAAGCAGAGTCAGCATTTGGTGGTGGTTTTGGTTTTTCTTGGCGGGGAGGGGAGTATTTTTGAGTCAGAGTCTTGCTATGTAGTTCAGGCTGGCCTTGAACTCCTTGCAGTCCTCCTGCCTCAGCCTCCCAAGTGCCACCATCCCTGGCCAGAGTCAGCATTCTTGCTTTCAAGGCACTGACACATGATTTTGAAATTAATCAGTGTACATGATGATTAATTTTTATGTTTTATGATTTTTTTTTTTTTTTTTTGTCTTTTTGAAATAGGGTTTCACCATGCAGTTCAGGCTGGCTGTGAACTCCTTTTGTAGCTCACACTAGCCTTAAACTCCCAGGTATTCTCTTTGCTCAGCTCCCCAAATGCTGGGATTACACCACCACATCTATCTCTTATTTCATGAATTCTGTTTTGTTTTTTTTTTTTTTTTTGTATAACAAAAGGTTTATTTGGGGAGAAAAGATGGTAAAGAAAGGGTATAGACAGCTACCATGAGGTGGTAGGCTTATTATATATGTGTAATTTTTGGTGAGTGGTATTATTTTTCTATGCTAGGGATTGATTCTGGGGCCTTTGCACTGAGCTCCATCTCCAGAAACCCCCCTCCCTGCCTTTTAGAAAATATTTTGAGCTGGGTTTGGTGGTGCATGCCTCTTATCTGGGCATTTGGGAGGCTGAGACAGGAGAATTGCTATGGCTTGGAGGCCAGTGTGAAGTACATAGACCCTGTCTCAAAAACCTAAAAAAAAAAAACAAAACAAAAAACCAAAGTTGAGACAGAATCTCACTAAATTACTAAATTTGCCTAATTTAGACTCAGACTTTGGTTTTCCTGTCTGACTTCCTAAGAATGCTGTGTTTATAGATGTACACCCCTGTCCTGGCTGAATTCTTGTGGTTCTTTAGTAAATGCTTTGTTTCTTTCCAATTTAAATTGAATGATTGAGATACAAAGAGCAGATTTTTCATGTGTTGAATTAGATAATTAGGTTTAAAGCTGGTTGTGGTGGCTTAGTAGTTTAAGGAAATATGATAGTCAATTTTATTAGCATGAGGGCCATGGCTATAGTTCAGCAGCTAGAACAAGGTCATGAGTTAAAAATTTTTTTAACCAGTATGTGTATTGTTTTTTCTATCCTTATCGGTAGAAATTGTGTTTTCCAACTTGATTTTTAATGAAATTTTTAGTGTCATTCCTTAAGTACTTTTTTTTTGGTACTGGGGATCAAACTCACAACCTCATGCTTGCCAGGCAGGCACTTACACCACTGAGCTAAATCTCCAGCCCCCGTAAGTACTTCTTTTATTAACCTCTTGTTCTTATATTTGATAATCTTTTTGTTTCAGTGTATCTTCTATCATTCAGCCACACTTTTTTTCTTTTAATGCGGGTGTGTTCTAGGCCATTTGTGGCGAACCTATGGCACACATACCACAGCAGGCATGCAGTGCTCTCAGCCTGCGAGCCAAGTTGCCCCAGCACTGCCCCAGCGACCAAGCACGGGGTGTTCAGGGTTAACTGCAGTGTTGGCACTTTGTGATAAATAAGTGGGTTTTGAGTTGCTGTTTGGGCACTTGGTCTCTAAAAGGTCCCATCACTGTTCGAGACAATTATTCAATATCTTTTTTTTTAATCAATGCTAGAGTTTGAATCCCTAGCCTACCACTGAGCTATATACTCTCAATACACAGTCTTCTGAACAGTTAGACTGTTCGCAGATTTTTTTGAAAGACTTAAATGTTGTGAATTGTTTTCTGAATACTTTTTTTTAGTTTTCAAACTCCATATCCTTAAGCAATGATTAGGAGCTTTAAATTCTTAATTGTCTCTTACCCAAAATTGCAGTAGCTGTGTTCTTATAAGAAATTTTATGCACACAGAAATTTCTGATTCTTAAAAACAGTTTGGTTTTCACTGTTTTTCTGTTTTATTTTAGGTGTTGCACCTCCCTCTTTTGTAGCAATTAAGGCAGGAACAACGTTGTACCAGCTGACAACAGCAGGGGAAGCTGTTTCCTGGAACTCAGTATTTATTCTGATGGTTTTGGCTGTTCTTTCTATTCTTCCAGCCATCTTCCAAAAAAAGCTAAAGCAGAAGTTTGAGTGAAAAAAATCTCTGAGTTTTAAATATCCTGTCATCATCGTCATCGTCATCATCATCATCTCAGGATTAGTGGATTCGTCCATTTACGGTTTTTCTCTTTTTTATTTTTTCCAGTGGTGGGGATCAAACCCAGGGCCTTGCGCATGCTAGGCAAGTTTTCTACCACTGAGCCATATGCCCAACCCTCTTGGTTTGTGTTTTGAAGTCATTACTTCTGTAATTGAAATAAGGAATTTATGAATAAAATTTTTCATTAGTTAAAATAATATATTTAAGTGGCAAGGGGAAGTAAAAGTGGAAATTCATATACTGCAAAAAGTACTGTCATTAAAGGGAGCTACAGGTAGAAAATTAGTGGCGTACAAAATTCTTGGTCCAACTGAGACTTTCAATGTAATATTTTTCTTTCATGTCTTATAACTACAATAGAGAGTGGTACAGTTCTTACTAATGTTAGCCTTCTTTCAGGGCATGTAAGTGGGTTAACTAAAGCTTAAACAAGATTTACATCCGTTCTCTTTCAAGTAATAAATTTGTTTGGAGTTTGCATTTTCATTAACCACAACACTGGGAAAAGGTATCAAGTTATCTACTTGTGAATTTTACTTCTGTCTTAAGTTTTTATCATGGATTATTCTGGTAATTTAAGTTCTAGTGGTTTCTGTTTTCATTTTTTCTAGTTCATATATAAAATGAATATTACATGATAACTTATTGATGTTGATAATTTGTATTCAGATAATATTTTGTTACAATGTGTCTGATAAAAGAGGATTTAAAGAACAGAAACTCAAAGCATATTGTTTTTAGACATTAGAATAATTATATTTTCAAACAAAAATGGGCAGCATGACACAGTGGATAAATATATTTTATTTCTTACAGTGACTAAAAATTTACCTCAGTGTGGTCATTAGGGAATGTGTTATGTAATTATCCTTTTTATACATGATATATCTATAAGAATGTTTTATTTCTGTTGGTGACTTTCTTTGGGGCTGCTTTTGATTAGTGCAGTTTTCCTCTTGTAGACTTTATTTTTCTAACTCACACACTAGAATTAACTTCTCACATGGTAACAATTATCTTTAAATAGTCCTGGAAAAACCAAACCACTATTTGCTGCTTAGTTAATGGTAATATCCTTGATTCTTTGATCTGGGACAGGGCCAATCAGTCAGTTTTAACCAGGCATGGTGGTACATACCTGTACTCTCAGCACTTGGGAGGTTGAGGCAGGAGGATCATCATGAATTCAAGGACAGCCATGGGCTACATGGTGAGCTCAAGGGCAGCTGAAGTGCATGCCAATACTCTGTGTCAAAAACAGTATGAAAAAGTAATAAAAGCGAATACAGTACTCTGTCACTTTTCTTTTACCCCAAGCTTGTCATTATGTGGAAAAGTCTCTTAGCTATGTGGGAAATCCTTTTGTGTGTTCATTGTGAAGAGTATGATCATCCTCACAGCCTGATTCTACTACAGAATGTGGACTGATTCATTTTTTCATTTTTTTTTTTTTCTTTTTCGTTTTTATCAGTACCGGGGATCAAACTCAACGACTGCCTGCTTGCAAAGCAGGCGCTTAGGCCGCTGAGCTAAATCCCTAGCCCCGATTCATTTTTTCTATTACAGTATTAAACAGATTTATTGTAAATACAAAGAAAATACATTGGGTTAATATAGTAGTCTTATGTCACTTGGACTTTCATGTAAAATTATTTGTAGTAAGGTTTTATTCCTTATTCACTAGAGGCTGAGTGGTAAAGCTTTTATTATTTTTACAGATGAATTTAAAACAGCCTTTTGGGACAAAGCTCACCTAACATTACTGTGTAAAATGTAATTGAGTCAGTTTTTTTAAAATCAAACTTTGATAAATAAAAGTAAGAGCTTGGACTCAGGAGAACCCTCACTATTCACTCTGGTGTGCGTATGTAGTACTTACTCTATTTTCAGAGTAATCACTCTGTCTTTTGATAGATTCTTTTCGTTTGCTAATTTCTCCTCTGGTTAGAAAATTGTAGCTGCCACTGTAGGTGGGATGTGTTTTCTTCTCCCAGCAAACAGCTGCTCTCTGCAGGCTCATCATTGACGGTCAGGAAACCTGCAGCAGACTGGTCCCTGAACATAGCTGGTGGCCTGTATTTGTGGAGTCACAGACTGGCCCTAGGCCAGGAGTAATTTCAAGCTTCAATCACCATCACCACTCCTGCCTCCCACCCCATTTTGGTGCTGGAGGCCTTGGTGTGCTAAGCATGCAGTAGTGGTGAACCTATGGCACACGTGTCACAGCAGGCTGTTACCATTGAAAACCTAGAAGGTTTGTTGTCACTATCCTAGGCTCGCAGTCACACATGAAAGATGGGTACTTAGGGATGGCTGTGAAAGCACGCCAGCTGCTGTGGGAGGCAAGTGGGCTGACTAGGAAGCCACCACTAAGAAAGAGAAACAGTTCCCTGAATGTTCTCTGTGGACTTCTGTTGCCTTGAGTGTTAATATATCTGAGACTTATTAAATGCAAACTAAAATGTAATAAATTTTACTAAGAAACTTAAATGGTATACTTGGGACTTATTTCTTGGAGGTATTTATATGTTTAAAACTTCATTAAAAGTATATTTTCTTGAAATTCCAGTGCACATTTTTGCCACTAATAATAAAAATCTTATGTAAATTTTTTTGGGGTACTGGGAATCGAACTCAGAACCTAGCACTTGCCAAGCAGGTGCTTATGCCACTGAGCTATATCCTGGACCTTGTAGTTCCCCCCCCCCCCCCCCAGTGCTAAGTTTCAAGTCCAGGGCTTTGTCCATGGTAGGCAAGCATTCTTCCACCTAGTTACAACCCCAGCCTGACTTTTAATTTAAAAACTAATGCTGAGTGTGGTAGCATTTGCATGTCATCTCAGCACTTGGAAGGCTGAGGCAGGAGCACAGTGAGTTCAAGGTCCTGTCTCAAAAGTAGCAGCTGCCAGGTGGTACATGCCTGTAACCCAATATAAATTTACTTAATAAATGAAACTAAAAGGTGAAATGTTGGGACAGCTGAGTGTGGTGGCACACACCTGTAATCCCAGCACTTGGGAGACAAATGACTAGAGGATTGCCATGAGTTCAAGACCAGTTTGGGCTACATGGTGAATTCAAGGCCAGCCTGTACTGTATAGTGAGACTCTGCCTCAAGAAATTTGGGACTGAAAGATGGAGAATATGCTATGTGTTAAAATTCATAAACAAGTTTTCATATGAGCACAGTCTTTCTCCCCATCCTCCTTTGGGATTTTGGGAATTGAACTCAAGACCTTGGTACTGAGTCACATCCCCTGCCCTTTCTATTTCTTTTGAGGTGCCATTACTAAGTCACTGCTAAGTTGCCTGGACTGGATTTGAATTTATGATCCTCTTGCATCAGTCTCCCAAAGAGCGGGGGTTGCTGGTGTGTGTTACCACACCCAGCTAGGTCTTTGTTTCTGTTCTGGCTAAGAATTGAGTTGCTGGGTACTACGGCAGTTGTATGTTTGGATTTTTAGACAAATTGCCAGACGTATGTTGAAGCTAAAGCAGAAAGATCACAAGTTCAATGTCAGCCTTGACTATGAAGTGGGTCTATCCAATTTTGAGGGCTGGAGTTAGGTGTCATGGTACACACCTGTGAACAATTCTCACAGGAAGATCACTGTGAGTTCAAGGCCTGCTGAACTACAATGGCAACATCCTATCTTAAAAACACCGCAAATAACACAAATTGCCAGCTGAGTGTTGTGCTGTATTCCTGTAGCCATTTAGGTAGTTCAAGCCCACCCCAGGCAATTTAGTGACTTAGACTCAATGTGATGCTCCTGGGTTCAATCTCTGTTAACACAAAACAAAAATAGGTTCAGTACTGCGTTGCTCCATTTATTTAACACAGAAACGACAACATAGGAAGGGAGCTGATTGCTTGCCAGGGGCTCAGAAGTGGTGAAAGGAGGGATCTAAGACAATGTAAGGGATTCTTGTGATGGAACTTGAATTTGTCTATTATGTGTGTACGTTTTGTGGTACTATTTTTTGGTGGTTTTGTTTTGAGACAGTTTCACTGTGTAGTTCAGGTTGCCCTTGAGTTCACTGTATAGCACAGCCTGGCCTCAGATCTCATGAGCTTAAGGGTGTGTGCCACCACACCTGGCCTTGAGGTATTAAGGTTTGAACTCAAGGACCTTTTACCACTGAACTGCGTCACTAACAAACCCTCCTTTTAAAAGAGGGCCTTACCCACACTGTGATCCTCCTGCTTCAGCTTCCCAGAGTGCTGGGATTACAAGTGTCTACCATGACACCTGACTCACAGCCGATATAATTTGAAAGGCAGTCTCATTGTCAAGGCTGACCTTGAACTTGTGATCTTCTTGCTTTAGCTTCCTGACTAGTTCAAATTATAGGGCTATACCACTGTGCCCCACTGTTTGGTTTAATGAAAAATCGAGTCTGGTAACTTTATAAAGAAATGAGGTTTATTTTGGCTCATTATTTTGGAAATTCAAGTCTAAGGGGCCACATCTGAGATGGCCTTGCTTTGCTGAGTTCTGGGGTGGTGCAGGGCATCAGCTGGGGTGGTCACCTGCAAATTTGCCACTTGGTCACCCTCTTTATAGAGTTCATGGGAATCACATGGGATCTCTCTGTGTTATTATTTCCTAACAATTCTGTATAAATCTACAGGAACCTCATGATGAAAAGTTTAAACATATTACCAAATTAGTATGGAAAGCTGTAAGTAGAACCAATCAGGTGCAAAATGTTAAAGGGTAAATAGAGTTGAAATCAAAGAACAAAAAATAGAATAACAAAATTACTTTAAAAGCTGTTATATTTCTCCCCCAGCCCCCGAGAAAGAGTCTAGCTATGTAGTTCAGTTGGAGCCAGGGAAATGCATTAGAGAAACTGCAAGGTAACAAGGCACCTCTTCCTCTCCCAAGTGCAGATATTTAAACATGCTCTGTGTGTGTGTGTGTGTGTGTGTGTGTATGTGTGTGCTGAGACTGTGTAGCTGTAGCTGACCTAGTGGCAGTCCTGTTTGCCAGGATTATAGTTGAGTGCCACCATACGCAGCTACATTCTAACATTTTCACGGATTGGTTCATTCTTCAAGTTTTTCCAGAGGATAGCTAGGTTCATTGCATGAGGGCAAGGCATTTTGATCCTCAAGTCCAATGAGAATAAAGCAGTAAGTATATAATGATACAGAATGTAAATTTATATCACTTGTGAACATTGATACAAATACCCTAACATGTCTAAAGTCAGCTCTTAAGGAAACATCAGGAGTGTATATCAATACCTCAGGGGAGACTCACCATTAGAAAAACGTGTCTGTTCAGAGGAGAGGCATCATTTTTAAATAGAAACAGGAACAATTTTGAAGCTGGGCATGGTGGTGAGTACCTGTGATCTAACCAGGAGGATTACTGAGAGTTTGAAGTCAGCCTGGGCTACATGGATCGTTAAAGACACAGCCAGGCCCTCTCTCAAAAATAATTTTGTTTTGGATAGGATTGAACATCTATACAAGTACATGATTAAAAAGTCAATAATAGAGAGGAACCTAATTTGATAAATGGCTTACCTGATACGTATAATAGATTTTTTTAAATTGGTGAAATCAACTTGTTTACCAAAATATCAAGGCATGTTTACCAACGACAGCCAGGAGACCGAAGGAGAGCAATTCCAGGATGCTCAGTAGCAGGGACACGGCCCAGGGCAGGACACACATGACAGCTGGGTGTGCCTGTGGCGGTGGCAGTGGTACCAGAATGGTAAGAAGATGGGCAGGCAGCATTTGGTGCTCAGACCTGTGGTGTAGTGAATGACGGCCGTGTTGCTACAGTGTGAGAAGCTGATGGCAGACAGCATCACCTCCAAGGAATGGAGCAACAGGAAGTGGGTGGCCGCCGAGCTGAGGCTGTAGATGGAGCAAGCGTCACTGTGCTTGTGGAATCCCACCAGCCAGAGCACAGCAGCTTTTGCCTGCCCCCTGCTCTCAGGCTGGACATCAACTCTGGGACCTGTAAGTAAACTTGGTCACTGTGCTCCTTGTCTCCACTCCCCCAGGCCTGCAAATCCTCGCCCCCCATCCTGCTCCAACTGGGCATTGAACTCAGGGCCTCAGTCATGCTCGGCAAGCCCTCTATCCTTAGGCTACACCACCAGCCCCACAAATGTCATTCTTTTTTTTTTTTTTTTTTTTTAATTAAGGAGAAAAAAAAAGGGTACAAGTTATACAGAATTTCAGAAAAAATAAACAGTAGGAAATCACAAGTTAATTACATATTGTCATCTTAGAAATAGTTGTTGAAGTTACAAAATTAAAGCATATAGAGGGGACTTTCAAACAGTGAGATTGCAAACAGTTTTGTTCAATGATCCAACAAAACTCAGAAATATGGTTATCTATCTTATAGACTTAAATATATATGCAGTTATATCTTTTAGAGAACTTTCTTTTCCTTTCTTTTGTACAATGACAATTACACATTTTGGGTTTTATTACTCCCACAGTTCTTATTACTTTTTTTTTTTTGAAGAAAGTAAAACCAAATGTGATATACCAGGACAGAGTCAGTCAAATCAAAAGGATGGACATAATACATAATGTAAAAACAAAATACAAGGTGATCAACAATGGTTACCATTAATGCCTCTTGCTAGCTTAAAAAGAATTGCCTATATCGTCAGTTATAATAAAATTGAACAAAACAGTAAAGAATAAGACCAATAAAACCAAAACATTGGAGACATTAGAGGACTTCAAAAGAAGATAATAGTCAACCAGAATTGGCGTCACAATGGATCTTATTGTCTTCATAGTTGTTGCCTAGACTTTCAAACTTGGTACTATCTAGCATAACAGAATAGAGGAAAATCAGTCAAAACAAGATGGTGAGAGCAATACAGAGTTTCAAATCAAGTTAATAGGAAATCAAAGTGGGTTACTATAATATATCCTGCTATTTTTTATAAAAGGATAAAAATGAAAAAGTAGATAATAAAAAGATTGAGATAAAAAAGTGGGCATAACAACAAAACAGTGCAGGTCAAAACCTAGCCATTTAAGCAAAATAGTGTTCCACAAGATAATGTAGTTACCATAGTGTCTCTTCCCTTAAAATCTTTGGGTATAACTTCGTATACTGTAGCATCAAACATATCAAGACAATGTAAAAACATTCAAGAGAATGACAGTATTACAGGGTATTTAGAATCAACTAACAGAAAGTGAACAATGGTTTCTGTATAATCTCCTTGTCTATAAAAGTTTTTGTTTATATTATCACATATAATAAAATCCAATAAGATACAACATGTTAAAACCGATGGAGACAGAAGAACAAAAGCTTGATGGGACTTCAAAACAAGAGGATATTAAATCAGCATTACCTATTATGATGTCTTGTTTTCTCCAAAATGGCTGTTCCTACCATCCAACCTTCTCTGCCTCATTTCTGTTGAGCTTTTTTTCTGTCACTAGTTGTCAGTTTGTCCTCTTCATTTTGCTTTCTGCTCCATTAATTGTGG